TTTTATGAATTTTAATAATGATCATAGTAGAAAGGAATGGATGTCCTTATTAAAATATAATTCAAATGTATTTAATGTTTTTAAGAAGTGCAAGGCCATAGTTGACAATGAGATAGATTTAAAGCTCATATGTCTCAAATCAAAAAATGGTGGCGAGTATCATGGAAAGAAGTTAAAGGAGTGTTATGATTCCAAGATCATCATAATAGAATGATGTTATAGATTCGATGAAGAGAACTATCTCTAAGCATGCCAGGAGCATGAGGTTGCATACTAGTTTATCCAAATATTCATGGGAAAATGTAGTGAATACTGCTATTTATCTTATCAATCATGGTCCTTCAGTTCCATTAAAAGAGGGGTTACTTGACGAAGTTGTTAAGTGTAACTTTTGGAATGTTTTACTATCTTAAATATTAATAAAATTATTATTGTAAGTTGTTACCATAAAGGAATATCTGAAGCAAGGCAAAACTTTCACAAGTGTTGAGCTAGTGCTAAAGTGCTTCAAACATAAGTGTCAAAGTGCTATAATTGATAATGCTCTTTTGCCATAATCCAACATTACAATGGTGGTGCCACTAGAATTTTTATTCAAGTTAGCACCCCAATGGAATCAAGGTCAGCACCGAGAATCAAATAATAGCATTATTGCATTATTCACTCTTTCATTCAAGTGTTGTAGCATTAATCTATATAACATCACAATGTCTAGGAGCATATTCTTCAAGCATCTTGAAGAAGTAGTTACCAAAATGAGGAGCCTCATTGACTCAAGAAAAAGTCCAATAAGTTTAGCCAATAGACATACAAGTTGAGTCCAATATTGCAATGGAGTAAGCCAAGTAATGCTAAGATTCTAATTAATTTTATAATGCAATAGGGCTAACCTGACAAGCGCCATAGTGTCTGAGACTATTTATATACATAATACAAATAGAAATTCTATCATTTTTAGAAAAGGGCTATCATAGTTATGTAGTTCTTTTATTCTTAAGTATATTTCCCCCTTAGAATTAAGTCTAACGGTGGCTAGGGGAGAAAAAGATACTATATTTGGATATTGTTAGCTTGTCTTATTTTAAGTAAAACGAAATTTGGAGGAGAAATGAGTGTGAAATTATATTTGTATTATCCTGGTGACATCTAATTACACTTTTACTTTTGTACTTATTATTATATACAAGTAAGGAATGATAGATTGTTATCTTTTATTTTCATGGCTAATTAATTTCTAAGTTTTGGGTTAAAAATATTAAACTATAAAAGTACTAATGTAGACTCTTATGGTTTGAATAAATAAATACCATTTTCAATATCTTTGATTCTTAGTTTAATGCATGGAATGACCATCTATGTAGTTATAATTTAGTATGATATACTACCTCGATAAAGGAATATTGAAATAATTAGGATAATTGAAATGTAACTCGTACAGGTCAAAACATATGATGTTTAGTGTTCTAGATTCTTTGAAGATATAATAACTTTAGGATGGTCATAAACCTCCCTTCACATTCCTATAAGCTCGACAATAATCTAAGGATCCACAAGCTCTAATCCACATCAAGCATAGAAGAGTATATATAAAAATTTAGAGAAATCACAGTTACTAGTCCAAAATATCTAATCATAGAGTATTTTTCTTTTTTATTGCATATTTAACTAGTGATTCTCTCGACCATAATTTTCATTAGATAGGATAAATATTGTAGCTTAAATAAACCAAAAAAAAAAATTAAATAAGTAGGTATAATAAACAATACTAATTTGTAAGCATATTAGCAGTACACTTTCTCATGGAATCGACACTCTCTTATATCACTTTATTACTTGATTCACATGTGCACTTATGTATTAGTGCGTAATTCAAATAGAAAAAAAATAAGCATATTGAAATCCTATGCATATTATTCACACATCCAAGTAGTTACCCTGTTGCCCACCATTAGAATCCTAGAGTGGAAAGGAGGAAAGTTTATCTCACCTCTTTTTTTTTTTTTTGTTTATCCCAGGTTTATGTTGATGCAGGATATAAGAGTAAACTTGATCCAAAATCTATTAAGTGTAAATGTATTGGATATGGCTCTGTTGAATTTGGCTATAAATTATGGGATTATATATCAAGTTCATCAGGAGCAACAATGTTAAATTATTGAAAATAAAATTTATAATGATAAAAATGAGACTCCTGTAGATTCTTCTAATTACATTGAGATAGAGGATTCGAATAATTGGGAGAAATTCATAAATGATGAGATGCATTCACTTGAGTTAAATCTGACTTGGAATTTGACATAATTAATAGATGAAAAAAAAAAGCATTACAGAATAAGTGATTTTAGAGGCTAGAATTTTCTCTCCAGTATTGAAGATGATTATAATGATAGTTGTGCTACGCATAATAGTGGTGGAAGATTTACATCTAAAAAATATTTATATGAAGATTGCATTTCTTCATGGTGACCTTGAAGATGAGTTATACATAGTGCAACCTCAGAGATATATGATTACAAGTAAAGAAGGTATTATGTGCAAGCTCAATAAAAGTTTATATAGGTTGAAGAAAGTACCAAGGTAATAATATAGAAAATTTGATAAGTTTATATCAAATAATTAGTAGATGAGGTACCAGGAAGATTATTATTGTTATTTTAAATATTTTGATAAATGCTATATTATTCTGCTTTTATATGCGAATGACATATTGATTGTAGAATCACATATGGAGAAGACAAGAAGTCGCAAGAAGCTATTAACAATGAAATTTGAAATGAAAGATATTGGGCCCAACAACAAGAATTTTTGGTATGTGAATCAACAGAGATAGAAGTGCAAGTATACTGACGATATCTTAGGTAAAGTCTCTTGAAAAGGTGCTACGCATACTTAATATGAGTGAAGAAAATCTAGTATGCACTCGCCTAGGTAGTCACTTTCAGTTATCTAACCAACAATCACTCAAATATGAAGCAAAGCACGAACAAATGGAGTAGACTCCATATGCTTTAGTAGAATTGGAAGTTTTTTATATGTTATAATTTATGTGAGAGCAGATACAGCATATGCAATGAGAGTAGTTAGTAGATTTTTTAGTAACCTAAATAAAATTCATTAGGAGACGATTAAGTAGATTCTAAAGTACTTGAGAGGATAAGTTGACAAAGTTGTTTTCTTTGGATATGCTGGTATGTACAAGGATATGTAGATTTTAATCTTCTTGGAGATCTTGATGGTAGGAGAAGCACAATTGTTTTTTTCTTCACTTTGGGAAAGACTGTAGTGAGTTAAGTTTTAAGGTTATAGAAGATTGTTGCACTTTTAACAATAGAAGATGAGTATATTGCTATCATTGAGACTAGCAAACAGATGATATGGTTGTAAAGTTTCACGACTAAACTTGACAAGGCCAAAGGAATGAGAAGTTGTAAAGTGACAACATGAGTGCTATTCATTATACATAGAATGCTACATTTCATGCCATGATGATGAACAATTAGATTCAATATCATTTCATATGATCGCGTCTTGAAGATGGTCAGTTACCTTTGGAGAAGATACACGGCCTAAAATCCTACATACATGCAGAAGAAGATGGTGACAATTAATAAATTGAAGCTGTGTAGCATCTGTTGGTCTTCATGAAGGATGAGAGTTGGAGTGAGCCACAGTACATGTAGTATGATTAGTTTTTTTCAAATCGGAAGAAGATAATTGATAGAAATCAATTTTCAAGTGGGAGATTGTTAATTTTATATGCAATAATCTTATTTAGTCAATTAATTGGGTACTATTGAATCGAACCTCAATTTAGTTTGTCGGGCTGGCTAAGGTTTGTAGTGGGTTCTCCCTCTATTGAATTTTATTTTTATACAGCGCCCTAGCACTATGTACTCGAGTATCCTGATGCTATATACCCGAGCATCCCGACACTATATAGTTGTGTAGAAAAAGAAAGAGGGCAGAGTGTTGCGGTACTCCAAACCTCAATGTGGAGACCCTGCTAAGGGGCGCTATGGAGCACTATACTCCAGCGCTGCGGTGTTGTCATACAGAGATGAGACAGAGAATTGAGCATTGCGACGATCCAACTTGGCACAGCGGGGCTACGAGGCAGACATAATTGTTTTCTTTCTCATTTATCATTAAGGGTTTCTTCACTTTGTGGTTATTATGTATCTCTTGGTTTATTCTTGTGTAAGAATGATGCTAGAGAGAAGATAGATTTGTACTATTTCTTCTAAAGTTCATAGTGTATTTCTTATTGTGGTGTGACTCTGTGGCTTTTTCCAGGTTTCGGGTTTTCCAACTTTCAATCGCAGTGCTCTTTTCTTTTTGCTGTAATTTTAAATTTCTTATATGTTTCATTGTGTGGTTTTACTTTCCTTCTAGTAATGGAGAGAACATAGATGTATATGGAAATCTGCCATGCTCCAGAGAATAGCAGCAACTAGAACTAACATAAAGTATCACACGAATGTCAAATGTCTTTGATAAAAGAAATTGAAGAATCTGTCAAGGAGCTCGAATACCATTCCGAAGACAAACAACAACTACCTCATAGCATTGTAGAAATGAATTTAAGAAAACAGAGAAGAAGAAACTTGATTGATGTATTTCCATTCATATATACCACTCTTTAGTGATACAGTGTATGAAAATATATACGAGAGAACTTAAACTGTCTATCTCATGATTACATAAATGTAATTACTAATATACTTAGGTTTTGTTTGGGATGGCTTTTAGTTTATTCTTAAAGTAGCTTTCTAGTACAATATTTTTTACTAGAAAGCTACTTTAAGAAGCAATAAAAAAGTCATCTTAAATAAAGCCTTAGACTTTATCCGTCGTGATAGGCTCTATTTTTTATCAAGCGTTGTGATTCGTTGCTTAGTTTGCATTTCTATGGCTGCGAAGATTGTTCAGAGTGATTGCTTGCAAAAGATGATGACACCAAATGCAAAATATTATAAAATTGAACCACAAAAATCCAAATATTGCATGGACAAAATGATTGCAATATTATTATTACTTTCATTATCATTACTACAAATTTTCTCCATTAGATACACAGTACAATACTTTAGTACAAACATCTAGCAGAGTACACGAATACCAAAACATAAACTCCTTATCTAAAGCATGTGAAATAAAAACACATAACATCATGATTTTGCTTTCTTCTTCCTCACATTGTGCTTTTATCCTTATTCTGGAAGAGGGATATCAGCAAGATCTTCTCTATAAGGCACAGCTTCATTCTCTCTGTCGCGATTCGAGTGAGTCATACCCTTCTCCAGTTGAATTTCAGTGGTGTTTGAAGTATCTATAAAAGTGATCGTCTTATCTTTCCTGAAAACTAAATAAATAACAGAAACAATATAGGCAGCCATTAGAGGGAACACAAGCATTCCAATGAATACAGTAGCAGCCTTTGGTAAACTGCTATGGATAATCCAACCAACGAAGCCAGTGCTTAAGTAATATATGTTGATGCCAATGATGCCTGAACCGAGGATCCACGATGCAATAATGATCTGCAATAATTTCATGTAAATATGAGCATCGTAGACGTCTTGTCGAAAGAATGAGGAAATGATTAAAAATACTAACGTAGATGGAGTTCTTGTGCGGGCCCATTTTGGTTCGGCTGCTGCTAAATTTGAGAAGAGGAATTAGAGAAAATGGCAACTCGAACGACAGTATCATCTGCAGGACACAAATTAATTAATTGCAGTTAATGCTTATTTGATTTTAGCTATTTGATATAAATGAGAGAAGTACTTACTGATGCAATAATGATTAATCTTCCCGCACCGGAGGATCCACCGATGATGGAGACGATAAGGCTGGGAGTTATGGCGATTGATCGCGTCATGAGATTTCTCAGCCACCTCTTCATTTTCAAGTCCAAAAATCCCTGCATATTTCACCTTTTCTTATTTTCTTAATTAATAAATCTATTATTCTTTCTGTCAGGCGGATGTGAAATTTTTGTAATAACAAGTGATTGAATATAAAATATAGAAATTAAATTTGATATATTAAAAATACAACAATATTTTCTAATAATCCTTGCTACATATAGATCTGCCCGATTACTAATTAATACTGAAACTTGGAGAATAGTTAGGATTCATTTTGGATGACTTTTTTTTTACTGTTGTTTAAATAATTTTTTTAGTGCTGAAACTAAAAATTTTAAACTGAAAAATTGTTTTAAAAAATAGTTAGAAAGTTATCCCAAAGGAAGTCTTAGAGTTCATTTGGAATAAATTTCTTAATGTTTTTTGTTGTTTTATTTGGGACGGCTTTCTTACTGCTTCTTGAAGCAGTTTTTTATTACAAAAATTAAAATTTTTTAAAGCTGCATCAAGAAGTTGTAAGAAAGTTGTCCCAAATAAAGTCTAAAACAGTGTTTTATTTAAAAAAAAAATTGAATAAGACATTTTTGATACTAAAAAATTGTTTTAGTAAGTAATGAAAAAGTTGTCCCAAACGAATATAAAGTTTCTTTATTCTAGTTTAGATATCATTTGCCTAGTTAACTGTAAATTGGAAGTATATTTTGAAAATGTTACTTTCATATATTCTTTAATGTATAAAATATATACTTTTTTATTTCAGAGAAAACCTTACTAAAAAATTTAAAGCTATTAATATTATATAATTTATTTAATTTTTAAAACTTGTTTAAAATGTCTAATTGCTTCCAGAAGTAGATGGATGGAAATATTATAAAACAGTTTTCTATTTTATCATTACTGCAACAGTAAAATAATCTAAAGAAAGTCAGCGTAGTTGGGGGAAATTATTTTTAGTTAATTACCTGCATGATGTACTGCCCAGCGTATGTTCCAGTTATGGCCGAGCTTTGGCCCGAAGCTAGTAAAGCGATTGCATAGACAATGGAGCTTGATTTTCCTAATACGTTCTGTAGATGGAATAAAATAAAATAGTTTTCATAATTTCTAATATTAACAAAATTAAAAGCGAGATATTTGTTTGGAATTCCTTGAAAAAATTAAATTAATTTGTAGCTATCAATTTTACTTTTTCATTCAATCTAATACAATAATTGAATTTTTCCAGGCTTTATAAATATTAATAAAAATTTAACTACCAAGGAATTTAATAAAGCCTGGAGCATTAATGTGTTTGAATTTTGATTAGTGAAGAGAGATTTCGAATGCTAAAATTGTGAATTAAGAATCAATTTGGACAACACTCTTATTATTTTATTTTTTGTATTATAGTTAAAAATTTTATTTGGCTACTATTTTATGATTATTTTTCAATAAATTTTTGTATAGGAAGTTTTTTTAATAGCAGCTTTTAAAAAAAAAGTACATTTCTTACAATAACTTTTAATATTTACGACAAACTTAAGCCTTACCAAACAAACCCTAATTCCCTAAAATAAAGTTTGAAAATGTATGTAAAATAGACTCCAAATTTAATTTAAAGTAATAATCGGGTCACTAATTCTAACTAAGAGGTTTTTTTTTCTTTTAAAATTTTGAAAATCTTAGTGTTTTATTTTCTTTTGGAGTTTCATTTTTATTTTTACACAGATCAATTTATATCAAGAAATATCTAAAATAAATTTAAATATTTTAGATATTTTATTCAGTTATGTATGCATACAAAATCAGCCTCACTCATTACCACAAAATTTATCGTCCTTCACCACTGAACAACCACTGTTGATGCCTCCCGTGCACCAACATTTTGAGCTTTGGGGCCACTACTTCCATCTAAATTACAAAAAAAATAAATCTACTTATGTAATCTATTATATAATAAATAAAATGAATTTTTACATACATAATATCTAAAACTATTGAAAATATATATATTTAACACCTCAACTTCTATATTTATTAATATATATAACACTGAATACATCTTTATTAATCAATTCTAACATTCCGTTCAAACATTCCGTCAAAAATCACTATCAACGACTGTCTTTCTTTTAAATGGTATCCTTTCATAGTGAATACAAGTATCTCATCGTTTCAATGGAGTGGTAGAATAGAAGGAAAAATAGATTGTAGGTGTTATGTACGTAAAAATTCCTAAATAAAAATAAAAGAAACGAAAAAAATTTTCAATTTATTTGAAAAAAATTATAATATAAAAGAAAAAATAAAAATGAATCCTAATATTTTTTAGGATATTTGACTGGGTTAACCAAATAACAAAAGTTAGCTTCCTTTATGATCCTAAGACATACAGTAAATAATAAATGCATAGCAACTTTGTTTTATGTTTAGTGATAAAATTTCTAGATTAAGACTTCGTTTGGGACGGTTTTTTTATTGCTTTCTAAAACGAAGTTTTAGTACAATTTTTTTTATTTTTGTACTAAAACTCATTTTTAGAAAGCAATAAAAAAGCCGTCCCAAACGAAGCCTAAGTCATTGTTTGGGATAATTTTTTAACTGCTTCTTAAAACATTTTTTTAATACAAAAAATTTAATTTTTATACTAAAAAGTTGTTTCAAGAAGTGGTAGTAAAGCCTTTCCAAACGAAGTCTAAGAGAAAAACAAAAGAGATATAGAAAAGGGTTTCAACCTTGAGTAAGAAGGAAGCAGAGTCTAGGGTTAGGTTTCCACATTGATTAGCTTCTTCTGAAGAGAGATTATTAGCATAACATACAGTTCCCGAAACAGAAACAACAGCAATGTTGATGAGTAACGCGACAAATAATGCTATTCCACTCTCGATGAAGAAGTACCTGCATGCACTCTAGTGGATAGACAAAATAAAATAAATTTTAGTATCTTTCCCAGTAATTATAATTATGATTTGTCGTGATCCTACATGTTGAATAAATTTATTTGATAAAGTATATCTGTAAGTTCAAACTTTTTAATTGGGCATTTTCATTTGTCCATCTCTGTTTCTTACATGTCTTATTAATAATCAAATCATTACAAGATTAACAAAATTCATTCTATATAATTCTTCCGTAGAAAATCATAATAAATAATATTGTTTTGAGTTTTAAGATTTTATAAAATGATAGGAAATGATAATGAGAAAAATCTCATATATATTTATATATATATATAAAAGAAATCATTTTCGAACAATTTTGATACTATAAAAGATTCTTCTTGTTTTGTCAATTTGTTTCAATGAAGCCTTAAATGATAAATTATTTTTGTCCATTTGGGATAATATCAAAGACATAACTATTATAAATTTTGACTAAGCAATGGTGCTTATAGTCCTTTTCAGGTATGATAATAATTGTCTCATATAAATTATATATGAAGATGGATTTATAATTATTCATTTCTTATAAAATTAATGGACTTTAATTTTTTTAATAAATAAAATTAATTAGTATCTAAATTAATAAT